TTGGTTCTCATTTAACAAATTCTTTATTATGGCTTCCCCTTCTGCAATAAACTATCAATTATCTTCCAAGATTATTCACTTTGGGAATTATTAAGACAGGTCCCAGAACTGTTCTCATTCCTGTTCCCTAGACCTAGAGTACTTGTAGGTCACTTGGGCTCCGGCTAATCCTCTAGGGCTAGTTTTCCCCTACTAGTTGGCCCATCTGTAGGTCTATTTTTCTGCCCACTTGCATTAATTGAGAGAATGATGTTCATTAGTGCAGATAATCCAGTTGACTCTAAAAATAATTAAAATAACTTTCTTATAAACAAAAAAATGAGGTATCTTTCATGTAAACAAAAGCTTTTTATGGGCATTATTAATTCAAGTTGAAGTATAAAAACTTCTATAGAAGGGGTAGAACATTTAAAATACTGACCCAAGACACAGAAATTAAACAGGTATAGAATTCAAATATTCCAGTGACTTCTAAAAATTTTCTATGACTCATAAAAATGCTTTTTAGTTTCAAAGACCATCTCCTATGTCATATACTAATCTTTTCCAGTCAGAGTTAACCAGAGCACTCCTACTGTATTCTGAAGTATTAGTGATTACAATAGGTCCCTTTCTATCTTTCCAGTCTTCATACACTTTACTCCTTTCTACATATTCTTTCTTTTTTAATAGGCAATTAGGGTTAAGTGACTTGCCCAGGGTCACACACCTAGTGTCAAGTGTTTAGTCTGAGGCCAGATTTGAACTCAGGTCCTCCTGACTTCAGGGCCCATGCTCTGTCCACTGCGCCACCTAACTGCACCTTCTACATATTCTATTATCCAGTGACACAAACCTTGTTGATCTTCCCACAAGATACTCCATCTCCCATACCCAGGATCTCTGCCCCCTACGCCTGAAGCTTTCCTTCCTCACCTCCACCTCTTGGCTTCACTAACTTCCTTCAAGTCTCAGAAAAAGTCCCACCATCTGTAAGCCTTTCACAGTCCTCCTCTGTTCAATTTATCCTGTATGTATCTCGTTTGTACATAGTTGTTTGCATGTTGTCTCTTCAGCTAGACTTAAAGGCTATTGTCTGTCTTTGTAGCCCCAGCACTTAGCGTGGTGCCTGGAATACATCAGGTGTTAATTAATAAATGTTTGCGGACTTGGACATAGGATAAGGAAAGGACCTATGACTTCAACAGTACAGGAACTCCACAATAAGGGAACTCCTTCTTTTACCAAAGCAATTCAGCACTTTCTCCAGCAGCATATTTTTACACAGTTCCCAGGGTCTCACAGCCAGTATGAGTATGTGGGTGGGACTCCAAACCAGGTCCTCAAGGCTTCAAAGCCAACTCTGTTTACTACGTGGCACTGTCTTTCTACAGAAATTGCTTTAATACTTTAAGTATCATGTGAACTGAAGTAATATATTATGGTAAGAGAAAAACATCACAACGAATCAAAATTACACAATGACCAAATTACATTAGTCAACCTTCCAAGGCCACTTCCTTTCCCTGACTTTTGCTCATTTCACTGCCCATTGCCCATTTTCAAAGGGTGAACAACTCATTTAAAAAAAAAAAAAGACATGCCCTCCTATTTGGCTTTTTTTTAGGACCTTTGGTAAAAAGCTTGGCGAGGTAGAAGACACAACACAAAAAAACTATGCCAATGTGCTAAGTATAAGTACTAATTAACATCTTTTGACACTATTGTTCTTTTATCTCTGGTACTTGAACTTAATGTTGTTACTAAAGAACTTATTTAAACACATATTTCAATCAGCATTCAAGTATCTATTTTGTGCTGGGCATTGGAGATAAAAAGAGCAAAAGTAAACTGGTCCTCCCTTCAAAAAGCTTGTATTATTAGGGGAGACAATCCTTAGACATGCAACGGCAGCTAGGGATGAAGTGGATAAAGCACTGGTCCCTGAATAGGAAAACTAGTTCAAATACTTCCTCAGATACTTACTAGCTGAGAGACCTAGGCAAGCCACTTAACTTTAGACTGCCTCAGTTTCTAACAGCACCTACTTTTCAGGGTTGTTGTAAGGATCAAATACATAAAATTTAGAAGGCCCACTGTGCTAAACACTAAAGATACAAATAGAAAATCAAGCTAGCCCCTGTACTCGAAGAGTTTACAGTCTAATAGGAGAAGATTAGACATATGGCCTAATGACACATATGATCCAAAACAGGGGTGGGGAATCTGTGGCCTCGAGGCAGATGTGGCCTTCTAGCTCCTTTGCAGCCTTTTGACTGACTCCAAGTTTGACAGAACAAGTCCTTTTATGAAGAGGATTTGTTTTGTGAAGTTTAGATTCAAAGGGCCACACTTGGGGACCTAGAGGGCCACACATGGCTTTGAGGCTGCAGGTTCCCCACCCCTCAAAAGAGATGGTCAAGGAAGAATGTTTTGGTCTAAGTAGTCAAAAGATGGTGAATGGAGTCATAAGACAGTTGCATGACATGCCTTCTTCCAGTGCCTGGTGCACAGTAAGTGCTTACTACACAGTAACTGGCTGACACAAGCAACATGGTACTGATTTGATTATTGTTCCCAGAGCAAGAGATGGAAGCTGGTGGAAGAACAGAGCAGACAAGCCTATCTGGGGCTGGCTGGATACATCAAGCCTTGTGGCCTTGCACTCTCTTACCCATCAGAATTGCTAAACCCCACAAACAGGAGTTCCAAAACACAGTAGATTAAATCCCTCAGGACCTGGTGTCAGTATTAAGAGATTCAGCAGTACAGTGGGCAGCAACAAGACGGACAAAATTGCTATCACGATGGGGTGCATATGGGACTCAGGTAAGGTCTCATCTAACAAGTGGCATTTCAGCTGTGCTTTGAAAGAGGCAGAGGTGAGCAAAGTACATTTCAGGCATGGAGAACAGCTTGTGCAAAAACTTACAGTGATGATGAAATGTTCTATGGGGAATAAAATTGCCAGTTTGGCTGGGACACAGAGGTCTCAAAAGGGAATGATACATAAGGCTGGAAGGACAGAGTGACTCCAGTTTGTAAAGAGTTTGGATGCCAGAGGAGCTTTAGTTGACCCAAGAGGCAGAAGGAGCCACTGGAGTTATATATTGAGTAAAGAAATGACACGAACCAGTTTGGAAGCTATTTAGAGTATAGAAAAGAGAGGGGAACAGCATGCAGAAGGAAGATCAAATAAGCGTCCACAGTAATAGTTCAGGAGAAATGTGGATTCCAAGAGAATTTAAACACATAGGATATGCTAAATAACTGACAATATGAAGTGGAGGTACATACTAGTCATAGGTCTTTTCATTGAAGATAAAATTTGCCTAACAACTATGCAGCTTTATTTCAGCAAAGTTTCATATTTTGTATTCTTCTGTATACAAAAAGCATTTTCTAAACAGCAACAGCTGTATTTTTAAAAACTCATTATTCTCCTCCTCTGTATCCTTTCCCTTAGTTATCTCCTCTGGCTTTTCTACTTCAAGATCTCCTTTAGAGATCTGAAGGGGAAGAGTACTGCCATCTAGGATCAGAAATTATGGTGACAGGTTAGATCATATCAGTCAAAAACCTGAAATTTAGTTTTTAGAGGTGTATGCTGTTCTTCAAGTCACTGGTCTATATTTTTTTTATATATCATACCGTATTGTACCTTAGTCACTTGAAGGCCAAGACACTGCAAATACAGAACAATGTATTCCTTTTTCCAGGTCTGTGAATATTAAAAGGCTCTAATGTTTAGGAATGGAACAAATATGAACGCAACCAGGTTATACAACCCCAATATATATAAATTCAAATTTACAAAACATCCACTGAGGGAGAAAAGAGGTAATAATCCATTTTATAATGGGCTTCTTTGCTTTATAAAATATTTACCACCAGATTCCTTGAAGTAACAAACTCTCTTGAGATATATGTGTGTGTGTGTGTGTGTGTGTGTGTGTGTGTATATAAACTTATAAAAAGCTTTATATACAGGTTCCAGGAATACACTATACATAAACTGTGACACAGCTATTTTTTATTATGTATCTAGAATACTGTAAGGCAGGCAAAATTTAAAAGGGGTTCCCAAAACATACTTGAATGCCAAAAGCAATTGTTGAAATTTGTTAAAAGGCAGATTTTGAGGGCAGAAACCATTTTACTAAATTTATTTGGTAAATTAACTATTGGTCAGATGATAAATTGACAGCCACTATGTATTTATCACCTCCACTTGGTTATAAACTCCTTTAAAGAGGTAGGGACAGTGTGGTCCAGGGTGATCAGTATTCAAAGGACTTGAGTTTTGATTTCAGCTATATAACCCCAGGCAATTCACCTAATTTCTCTGGGCCTCAGCTTCCTCAATCTGAAAATGAGAATCAGATAATCTCTGAGGTTCCAATCTCATTTTATCTTCCTTTCTCTTCCAACATCTAGCACAGTACACCACTCATAGGAGATACCACGTTTACTTAATTGGTCAGTGGTTGTGCTAAATCATTGTAGGCCTAAACTTAACTAACCTAGCACAAAATTCAGCACCAGGAAGTGGACTTCTCTGGAGGCACTGTCTTATACTCTCAATGGCTGACCCCATAAGCCCCCACAGAATTCTATTGTATATCAACATTATTGACAATATATTAGTTAATACAAATCTAACCAAATCAGGAGGTAAAAATGACCTGTTTAAAGAGCTCATTGTTAAAATTTTACTCCCATTAAAAACCCAAAAAGAAATTGGGTTTATTTTTATTTCTTATATATAGTCAATGTGTTAAAATTTAAGGCATAATATTCATAATTTTCAAAAAGATTATTTTCTCTTTTAAAAACAAAGGTTATGACAGCAAACTGAAAAGAAACTCTCAGCAAATTCATGTATACTTTTATAACTTTTAAATAGTCAGCACCACCTATAAACAAAGATAAAAAGCTTATTTTTATCGAAACATACTAGCAGTCCCTGATTTTGAATATTAATTTTTTAATACCATTTGAAAATATAACATCTTTCAAAATGAGGTTTTTTGTAAAAATTTACTTTTTCATATATAACATTGCAAAGTTTACCTTTCATATCACAAAAACAAGAATCAGAAAACTAAAAATGAAGAGAGTAACTTCAATCTGAAAACCAACATTTGGTACCCTGGGATCACATTAATTTCTTGTAAGAGAAATAATTTGTTTAAAACATTAAATACTTTAAGATTAACTTATTTTACTTATGATTTTCAATTTTTATTAATACAACCCAGCACTGACATTAATACAATACTAAAAACCATTTAGGCTGACAAAGCAGGAATGATCGTCAAAAGTGATGGATAACAAAAATCAGTTTCTTGTCTAAACTTTAACATTCTTTCAGATAAGTGTCTTTTTTTTCCCTTAAAATTAAAACAGGGTTGCTTTTTTTTTTCATTACACCAAAATTAGTTTTGGATCTTTACTCCTTTTATTCCCAAAAATGAAATAAAAGAGAACATTTAAGATGCTAACATTTGCCTTTTAGATAAAATCTTAAAAATTTGGGAGTGCTTTCAATTATTTTTTATTATTGTTTCGGCAGGTTTTCTATTCAAAAGTTATGGATTTATTCAACATTGATGTTACTTATTCAAGCGTCTCTTTAAACTTTGTAAGTCTTCCATATTTACATCTTGCAGAACTGACACTATGCCTTTAGACAAGGAAGGATTAAATGTAATGGTCATCAGACAGCACAAGTCTATTAGAGCTCTCTGACATTTCTGTAAACCTTCCTGGAATTTTTTATGCTGAATAGTATCTTTCTTTAACTGTTTCATTTCTGATACTGAAAACCCAATCATATTTGTTAGTATTCCATCTGCAAAAGCCACATCTAGATAAGCAGTGCCATCAGAAATTTTTGCAGTTACACTCCAAAAGCCACCACAACGTGAGAGATTTCCAGTTAAGGTTACAATAAATGCCTTGACTTTCACAGTTGTTACTTCATTGAGATTTCTGGCTAATAGGACGGAAATATAAGTAAAAGGTGGAGAATCCAAATCGACAGCAATAGAAATTCGATCCATGTTGTTCTCTAATGATATTAAAGAACAGGGATATACATAACTGCTTTCATTACTGATTTCTGAAACTAGCTTTGGTACATTAACCAGTTCAGTTTTCAATGTTTTATCATTTTCTAAATTACTAATTGGGGGTTTAATTTTCTCATATATTCCTGAGTTCTTATGTTTAACTATGAAATCCTGAGGCAGGTGTGCATTATTTTCAAATGACAACATACTGCTGAGATTTTGATCTCTAACAGATAGATAACTAAAAGATTTGTCTTTACTGGTTATTTGTTCAAACAAAATCTTTTCATTCTGAACATTTTTTTCATTTGTATTAACCAAAGAAAAATCCTCTGTAATGTTAGGTTTCTGTGAATGTCTCTCTATATTTTTGTCACTGCCTCTGTTCAGTGTCAATGAATTCCTTTCTTCTGTCTCCTGAAGTTCTTTCTGGATAGTTTCCTCTAAAAACAAGACATCCTCTAGTGAAAAATCATCTAAATCTCCTTCAGCAAAATTTACAGATGGATTTGGTAGGTCTTCATCTCTTCTTGGTGAAATGATAGAAAGTCCTGAGCTAGTAGTTACATTGCTGATAGTGTTTGAAATACAGCTTCTGCTAAAATACCCACTTTCTGAAGGAGTGTTATTATTGACCACTACTGACTCATCACTTTCATCAAGGCTTGCTAGGAGTTCTGCATCTGAAGGCTCTAATGCTGGTTCTAGTTCATCTTCAAGTGCAGGAATGCATTGGCTGTGATTTGGTCTAGGTGAAGTTAAAGAATCAGGCTCTCCAATTAGTCTTGCAAGTACTCTTTCTTGGGCATGTTCTTCAACAAGAGCGTCCACTTCACCCCCTAGAACCTTCACATTTTCCGGTTTTAGCAGAAGAACACCAAGACGGTAAGAAATATTTCCATGAATGAGGATTTTTGTACCTGGAGGAATAGTTTGATGAAGAGCTGGAATGGGTTGATATTCCATGCCCTGTATTTGCCTAACTCCATCAGTTATCTGCAACATTAGCATTCGTGTAGGATTTGCTTCCCAAGGCTTTAAGGATATTTGTGTTTCAGCTGTTACTTGATCATTTGACCTGTTCAGTCCTCTCAATTTTTGTAACTGGGAATACACAGGCTGACTAACATCAACCAATGAATTAATCTGCAAAGAATAAAAACCACTTAGCTCTCCTTTTGGGACTTCCAAAATCTTATCAGGTAAAATGGGATACTCCAAATCTCTTAGATCAGTAAGAAGCCACTGGTCAAACACTTGTTTATTAATTTGAGCCTGAGTCAAATTCATATCATTATTTTCTTCTTGAATCCAATTAATACAAGCTTCTAGCCACATCATGGGAACTTTAATATGCCATGCAGAGGAAAGCCAAGTTTCCACTCTTAATGCAACACTAGATATATTCATTTTTTAAATTAATGTCCTGCATCAATGTCCTGAAAAGAAGCAAGAAAAAAAAACATTTCAATCATAATAGTGAATAATACTCTTCCATTCTCTAGGTTGCACATTTCAATCAAACAGATTCCAAAACCAAATATTTTTAAGACATTTTTTTTAGCATATTAAATTTTCTTGATTTTCCACATATTTATAATTCAAACAACAAAAAAGTAATCAGACTTCAATCATTGAAAATGCAAGTTTTCAATACCAGAGAACAGATGCTGAAATACACTTTCCTCTTCTTATTAGGGCAAAGGGGACTGCCAGTGTGGAATGCTGCCGACATTGTCAGATGCAGTCATTTTGTCAAATGATTTTTGTTAAAAGAAAAGGTTTGATTTTGGGTTGGTTGGGGGAAGAAGCTGGATATGGCAAGTATGAGGAAATTAGCATGACATAAAAAGGTATCAATAAAACAAATAAGAAAAATACATATAAAATAAAACGCAGCTCTCCTGAAACAATGCTAAAGCTAAAAACAGGATCACTATATTTGTAATATTTAGCACCAAAACAATGCAGAAAGATAAAATAAAGCATCTGCAAGATGAAATCTATTGAACTCAAGAAGCACCACTGATTTAAAAGGATTTTTCAAATTTATAACCTACAGAATAGGGGTATCAGTCTTCCACTGTTGACAGAATATGGAGTCCTAGTCTTCTGCTACAAAAACTTACCCCCTTCCTCATAAGTAACAAGGCTTTCAGCTATGGTTTATACATTTTTAATATATCCATTGGGAATTTATTTACCCAAGTTATTTCTCATCCTTTGCTGTTCAGAAATGGCTATGGGGATAAGGATAAGATATGCAGTTACAGAAACAGCTATTCCCCTAAACTGCTCAGTGTGGTGGATGTTAGCAAATTGGGGGGAGGGTAGGGAAAAAAAGAGGGTCTATAAGGAGCCTACCCTAAGCAAAGGCCAGGGCTATCCTTGATGTAAAGAGATCCATACTTCATGCTAGCTCTAAGGCAAGAACAGTATATATTTTTGCTGTACTGGAACTGTTCAGCTTAAAATTAGTATGATTCTGCACAACAGTAGTATAACCTGATCTTGCCAGTGCCATAAAAGCATCTACTTTAATATTTGTTGAATTGCTTTCCAAAGAGCAGCTGAGGAAAAACACTATGAACCTCGGTGAGAACCTCCCTTCACCAGTTGTCAAGTTTTTGTTATTCTATACCTGTAACACCTCTTGAATTTGTCCTCTTCTCTCTACTCTCATAGTTGTTGTTAGTTGTTTGAGTTGGGTCTGCCTCTTCAAGACTCCCTTTGGGGTTTTCTTGGCAAAGATACTGGAGTGGTTTGCCATCTCCTTCTCCAGCTCATTTTACAGATGAGGCAAACAAGGTTAAGTGACTTGCCCAGGGTCACACAAGTGTCTGAGGTCAGGTTTGAAATCAGGAAAATAAATCTTCCTGACTTTCAGGTCCAGTACCCTAACCATTGTGCCACCTAGCACCCCCTACTCTCATAGACACCGCCCCAATTATAAAAGCCTCCTAATTAGTCTCCCTGCCTCACAAAAAATGTCTATGGAAATCAGTTTAATTCAATTAAACATTTATTGGAGCTTACTATGAAAAAGGCACAAAGCTAGGAGCTAAGATACAACCACAGGCTTGATCCAGGACCTCCAAATACAGCTTTCATCATAGCTCACAAGCCGAACAAGGTACTTCCCACTACCCATCTTAGCAACAAAAAACCCAGTACAATTCCTAGGAATGAGGACAAAAGAAGTATCTCTCACTGACTAAAGAGAAAAGAAATAAAACTACAAAGATTTCCTAGGCAAGTCACTGTCTGCCTTAGCTTCCTCCACTATAAAATGGGGATGATAATAATAGCACCCTCCTCCCAGGGTTGTTGTGAGAGTAAAATGAGATATTTATGAAGTACTTTACAAATCTTAAAATGCTACATAAATGCTAGCTATCATCATCATTATTATTATTATTATTAAAATAACTAACAAAGTAACTTAAAATAACAAAGTAACTTAAGGTTGAGGAGTGGAGGAAAGGAAGGGAAGTAGTGATTATCATAATACAAACACTTAAAGTAAAGGGGAAAAAGAATCTCAGGAATGATGTATGGTTGGAGATATATTTTTACTAGTGGGTATAAAACCAATGGATTTCATCTTTTTCTTGTAATTTCTTCAAAACAAGATACTGTACCAACACAGGTGAACTAGAATTCTCTATAAAGCGTTGTTATATAAATATATTTCCATTAAAAGTGATTAGTCAAATTGCTTAGATGCAAATCTAAGTTTTCAAATTTGAAAACTGATAAAGGAATGGCTTTCAGAAAACCTCCAAATTATGGACATGATTAAAGAAAACACAATCCCTTGGGGGGAAAATTAAGATCTTTATATTTATATAAAGATGGGCCTATCAGCACTGAATTCAGGAGATAGAAAGGACTCCTATTCAGTGTCAATGTAGTAAATTTTGTAGAGTCAAACAAGCAGGCCTCCCTAAGAGAAATTCACATTGTCTTGAGCTGTTGACAAACAGTTCCTTAAATAAATTAATGAAATAGATGAGCAAAACACCTTTCATAAAAGACCAACAAAACCAAAAACTTTTCATACTTCTACTTCTTCGTCTGCAAAATGGGAGTACCATCTGCCCCTATTTAACTAATGAGGATTAAAAGATGCCTTTAAAGCTTTCACTCCTCTGAGTTTAATGCTACATGCTATTTTATGTTTGTGGTACATGTTTTGGAATTATAAAGAAAAATGGAGGAAGAAGCTAAATTGCATCCTAAGCCTTGATTGAGAGCTTTAATTCTATCACTTAGTATAGCCTTCTTGAAGTGTAGCTACACCTCAGAATTTGATTAGGTGTGCCCTAAAGCTATGAAACATACACCTGAAATGGGGCACGCATATGCACAAGCGTCTCACCCAAGTCAACGTAATTTAACACTTATAATCACATTCCCCACTTTCCCACAACCCTCCAGATTCTTAATGACAAAGAATACTATACCATCAGTGAAAAATGTTTGAGAACTATTAACTTAAGATCTACTTTAACACTGCCTTTATTCCCAATATTTTACTACAAAGGGTTTTGTAATCTTATCATAGCCTCTACAAGTATAGTATAATGAGCTTAGACTTGCCTTAACACAAATTTTACAAAAATTATCAGTGCCTGGAATGAAAGCAGTTTACATCTTTCCATAAAGTTTTAAAAGTTTTATATAATAAGCTATATTTAAGAGATACATGATCTTCTGAGTTAGTTTCTAAAAGTTGCTGATTGCTACATGCTCCTAGGGCAACTCAACTGAGAACACTCTCCTTCCTCATCTCCACTCCTGGCTTCCTTAAAGTCCACCAGCTAAAACCTCACCTTCTACAGGATGCCTTTCCAAATCACCCTTAATGCTAATGCCTTCCCTCTGTTGATTATTTCCAATTTATCCTGTATATATCTTATTTGTACAAAGTTGTTTGCATGCTGTCTCCCCTATTAGACAATGAACCCCTTGAGAACAGAGACTGTTTTCTTTGTATCACAGTGTTGCTTAGCACATGCCCAGCACATCCTGCTTAATAAAAGACTGATAAGTTGACTTAATCAGGCAATGGACCAAATTCAGACCAGCTCCCAGCTTAAAAAAGAAAAGAAAAAAAAACAATAACTAAGTGGAGGAAAGGGGAAATGAGGTCAAGAGTTGTGAGCTCTGTAGTACCTTCATTCTTCTATTCCCAAGTGATCACAAAGAAAAGCAAAGAACCATCAGACATCTAGTCTCTTCCCACTGAAGCTGTTCTCCTGATAACTGACAAGCCCCATAACAGAACTGCTGAGGCATTTAAGGTTGATATATAAGTAGGCGGTAGCCTTTGAAGCCAAACTAGCCCACCTGAGAGTTGGTAAAAAGGTTTTTGACTACATGAAGATAATCTGCCGAAAAGTACTTTTCAGTTTGGGTCAGAGCAACACAGAGCTAGAAACTACATTTGAAAACTAAAAATCAAGGTGAACTGAAAGGAAATTAGTTAGAAAGATACAAAATTGTACCTTGTCATCTTATTTCCTTAAAAAGTTTGTTTTAATTTTAGAATCTAAAAGAATTACCCATCTCAGTAGTCAAAGCTACTTAAGAGATGGATTAACAAAGAGGCATATTTTAATAATAAAATGTTAGTACTAGAATATTGACTATAAATCCTTTTGATCTTCTATCAAAGTCTTACAGGTTTGTGACTAGGATACCATCGACACTATCTAATGTAACATTGTGCCCAAACTGCAGTTCAAACCTAACTTGATAAAATAAGAGAAAATAATGCTAAAGTTACAAGTCTTTGGAGAACATCTAGCCCAATTGCAATTTCTTTCCAAGAAGAAATGGAGGCTCACAGAGTTAAACACCTTGCCCAAGGTCACAGAGCTAGTTAATTGGTAGAGCCTGAGTTCAAACATCACATGTCTGCAAAAATATTTTTCTTATCCTTAGGTACATCAGTGACTATGAATGAGCAATTCAATTTTTAAAATATTTACTGAATGTTTACTATGTGCAAGGCACTGTGTGCTGGATGCAGAGGATACAAAGAGAAAAATCCCCTGCCCTCAATGAAATTATCTCCTCTGGTAAGTGCTGCCAGTGACTTTTTCAGTATCTGTCAACACTTTTACTTCTCTATGGCCTGATATCTTTTAGGCTTAGTATAATCTTTGAAACTAGAGTCAAGCCTTGATAAGAACTGTGAAGTACATAATCTAATCTGCCAGGAATATACTTTCAGTAGCAATGGCAAAGAGGCAAATTGTTTAATCTCACATGTCACAACCATAATCAAGCCCTTTATATCATTTTTATTATCCTACAGATCACCAAGAAATACTTTAGTGGCTCTCAGCTACGGGCTATTTTCTACCCAACCCTATTCTCTACTTGATAAATACTGCCGTTGAGAAAGAAGGTGGGGTGGGGGTGAGAGGAAGATTGGTCAAATTAAGGTTTGAAGCAAAAACAAGCATAACTTTGGGAGTGAAGATCATCTAGTAAGAAGGAAATTATCTAAAGTATGATAGAGAAATGTAAAATAGTAGCATCTTACCTTTGGAAAATTTCTGACTGTCAAAGTAAATTCCTATTTATCATCTCATTTGTTTATTGAACTGAAGCAGATCCTTAGAACAGACCTGTAAAGGTAGGCAGGGCTGGTATTATAATTCTTATTTGACAACATCAAAAAACTACCACAAAGAGATTTCAACTTCCTTAAAGCCACAGAGCCAGTGAGTGATTAGAAGCAGCCTATAGATTCACAATCCTGTACAGCTGGGTGGCTCAAGTGCACTGGGCCTGGAGTCACGAAGATCTGAGTTCAAATATGACCTGAGACACTTATTATAGCTGTGTGACAGTAGGCAAGTCATTTAATCTGTTTGCCTTAATCCACTGGAGAAGATAATGGCAAACCACTACAATAGCTTTGCCAAGAACCCTCCTCCCACCCCCAAAAAAGGAGATGAGGAGTTGGACTAGAATGAACAACAGCTTTCACTTGACCATACTGTGTGGGGGTGGAGGTGGAGGTGGGGGGGAGTATATGGTTGTTACTTATCAACATTCAACTTTTTAAACAACTAGCACATATGAGAAGCTACTTCCCACCCCCACCCCCCAATTCAAATTCTCTTCCTCTTCACTGCCTTAATGTCACAACCACCAATCTCTTCCCAACCTAAGCCTTCATCCTAAGACTAAGGTTTCATTAGGAACAACATCCCCTAGTCCTCACCTCCCTGAAGCCAGGTCAATATGGAAAAGGAGGAGTAAGAGTTGAAGGTGGCAGAACACATACCTAGCGGAATTTAAAATGTACTTTTTCATGGAAATACTGCTTATAAATTAGGGGTTTTTAACTTTGTGTCAACGGACCCCTCTGGCAGCCTGGTGAAGCCCATGGAGCCCTTCTTAGAATAATATTTTTAACTGCATAAAACAAAATATACAGAATTACAAAGAAAACCAATTATATTGAAATTTAGTTAACAAAATATTTTAAGAAACAAGTTCATGGGACCCCAGGTTAAGAATCCCCACTACAAATGGTGATTTGTTTCCAGAGATATTAGTACTATCATATTTAGCTATATTATGGTTTAAATAGACTTTTAGGGATGTGCCTGCTAACTTCCCCTTTATTTCTACAGAAAAATAAGCTTCAGGTTACAAACAAACTTAAAAACTTTAATAATGCAACCTCTGATCTGATTTGCTTATTACTTATTTCAAAGATGTGATTTCACTGGCATAGACAAAATTCTATATTATTAAAGGGATGATTTGCGAACCTTTGGAAATAAAAGCAGTGATCACTAAAAGCTAATACACCTTCATTAAAAATAGGTCATGCTAGCCTAACCTCATGTCCTTTTTTTTTAATGTGTTATTGGACCTATTAAAATACTGCTGTAAATATAACATACCTAGACTTTCACAAAGCTTTCAACAAAATCTTTTTTGTTCTATCTTTATGGACAAGATCCTGAAAGACATAGGTTAGATAATTAACCAATAGGAACCATTATGTGTCAGGCCAAAAAAAAAAAATAGAACAATCCTCACTTTTAAGCAGATAAAGAGTTAATTCAGCATTAATTAAATGACTAGACACAAAGAATGGTCATTAACAGGTCTAGCTCAACTTCAAGAGAAGTCTCTAGCAAAGTATTTAGAGTCTTTGATGAGTCTCTATAATTTTATCAGTGATTTAGATAAGACATCAAATTTACAGATTACAAAGGCTAGGGAAAGGTAACTAAGACTGGATTTCAGGTTCCCCCCCAAAATCTGGAGCTGTTGTAAGATGTCCAAGAGGATGGGCATAATTGGGCCTAATTCCCCAGCTCCACTCCCAAAAAAGGCACCAAATAAAGAATGAAAAACAATGGATGGAACTCGGAGATAGATTTAAGTTTGATATATAGGGTAAAAACTTCCTAATCATTAGAGCTGCACAAAATCGGAACTGGCTGTTTCAGGAGGTAACAGATTCCTCTTCACTGTTTTAGAAATGATTCTTGTTCAGGCACACACTTGAACTATTAAGTCCAATATATAAAAATCCTTCCATAAAAAAAAATTCACATTTCAAAATAATTATCTGCTTTACAAAAGTATTCCAGGGATCCTTTAAATAGAAAACTCTTCTAGTATATTTAAAATTATTTCATTTACACAACTTTTCAGAAACATTACTGCATAATGCAAGACATATCACTACTGTTTGTCATAAATGTACCGAGACAATTTTTTTATAAATAAGGTCTGCTGTAACAATATTGTGTATATATAAAATCTCATATTAACATAGGCTTGAGTGGATCCTGCAATTTTATCAAAATCCCATTCAAATACGTCTATTATACTATAAAGTAGTGTAGGAATACAGTGTATTTATAAATATTATCAGTGATGTTTTGCTGGTTTCAAAGCAAAGATGGCCATACAAGTCGATGCTGTTTTGTCCAGAAACTGTATCTGAATGCTAAGTAAGATATTCTTAATAAAATGGACCGTATTTTTCAAAGTGTCATGTTGGCTTTGAAGTTTCACAAATTGGTTTCTTTTTGGCAAAGAGTGCTAGCTCATACAATCATGGTGCTGTAAGAAGAGTACCACTCCAGGAGAGTTCATGGTGCTTCCCATTAGCACCTTAACTAGGTAATGAGAGCCTGAGGGGCTTAAGTTTGTACACACTTTTAGTCCCCGGTATTCCCTGTATTCAGGGATCACACTCTTCCTCATTTTGTGCCTGCATTAAGCAGCACTTCTACACAGCAACAGCTGAAGATCCATGGAAAGAAGCCTACAGCCCAAGGGCCAAGGGACCTATCACCGAATAATCCCTACTAACTTTAGCACCAAAAGCCTAACAGAAAAGATTCAAATGATTTAAACCTGATCACATTTTTTAAAAACCACCATTATTTTAAGACAAAAGGAATTTTCATTTTATCTACTGAGATACTATAATGGTATTCAAAAAGACAGGATTTGATCTGTAGATCAAAAGAAAAATGTTATCTAATAATTTAAGTGAAAGTGATATAATTTATTATGAATTACCAATTACTATATAATTTATTATTATTAAATACATTTTAAATCATAGTGTAGTAAACAAGATCCATTCTAAAAATGAAGGTTGGGGTAAGAAAATCAAGCAGTATTGTCTAATTTAGGACAAAGAAAAGTAAATAGATAAATTCTTTCATTAATTGCTTTCTTACATCAACTAGTTTTCTATAAAATTTCCTAGACTCTTTCTTCCCACTCCCTCTTTCGCAATAGCAGTAGAAGCAATGGGTTGAAAAAACCTAGGTAGCAGTCCGGTGATTTAAATGAGAGATAAAGTTAGTTACCTACTCTTAACCAAAAAGAAAAGAATTAAGAGGAACACATATAAATAGCTTGGGATTTTTTTTAAACAGATAAACATATAGTTGTAAATACTAAAAAGGCAATATAGCAATCCATATAAGTAATCATAGCTCTACACTAGATGCAAGGTTTACTGCAAAAGTAATCAAGAAACAGAAAATGATCTGGATATACAAAGGAAACCAGGAAAATCCTCCCAGCCATGAACTGTTTAGTCACACTGAACCTAAAGGAGAGTTTGATATTTTTGAGTTTGCTTTACACAACCCAATTCTCATTCGAAATTTTAAAAAAGCACGTCATTTTAGCTGCACTACATAACCCTTTGCAGTGTTGTTACATAAAAATACTATTCAACATTGAAGACACAACTTCTCCATACATAATCAGTCTGCTTACCAAAAAAATCTAAGTTAATATTTACTATCTACTTCAGTGATGTTGAGAATAAGTGAAGGTATAGTAGGTACCATCATACTTCATTTGTTCAGCTTCAGAAGCTAAGAAGCAATTCCACAGAAGATGCTTATTTACCAAATTAACTGAAGCTTGCAGCTTTACCCCAAGACAATTTTGTTAATAATTTGGCCAGAAATGCTTCTAATTAAACTAAAACTTCCTGCCTTCTTAAACAATGTGAAGAAAATAACCTTTTGATTGACTCAGAAGTTAGCCTTTAAGCCTTTGCTGACCCCCCAGCACCTTGCACCTGTCACATACATACACACGCCCCCATACATATACACACACATATATATACATATATATGTGTGTGTATATGTATATGTGTGTGTATATATACACATATATATTATATATATGTGTGTGTATATGTATATGTAATATATTACATATATATAATATATATGTGTATATATACACACACATATACATATACACACACATATATAATATATATGTGTATATATACACATATATATTATATATATGTAATATATATATTATATATATATATATACACACATACATGTTTTACACCAACAGAATTTAAGCTGTGAAAGTTAAGAGCTGAGACTCATTTTTTCTTTGTATTGCCAGCACCTAGCACAATGCCTGGCACACAACAGAAACTTAATAAATGCTTGTTGATTACAATGAATATCAATTAACATACTATGCTGTCATACCTGGACTAGGTCATGAAAGCCTGAGATAAATATGTCTGTCATATACAAAAAATGGCCCAGATAGGCATTTTTGGTTCTTTTGTATTCTCTCATCAGTGGTCACTCTTACTATGTGACTGCATCACAGTATGCACAATATGACTGCATCAAGCAGCACTTCTAACTTGCTATGTATATTGAATGAGTCAAATAAGCACATTGTTAGAATTTCTGTAATATGAGTGAATAGATAAATGAGAATCTCTCTTTTAGTACATAAACTTTAAGGCAATCATTTTAGCTTCTTGCAGGTATTCCTTCATTTCAGATTCTCAGCTATGTTCAAAGTAGCTAAAGCTGCTGGACAGTGACAATGTAGCTGTCAATGGTCACCTAGGAGTTGCTTACCATCATAAAAACCATGAGGCAAATCTTTATGCATAAATTTTTTTAGCCTAGTATCATTGACACAATGGGTCAATGATTCCAAATTATCAAATTATAAAAACATCTCAGTATTACCTAAGTAATATTTTTCCTATAAATTTTATCTCTTTTTTTGTTTTCTTCCAATCACAGTTCCCAAAATTCCCACCCAAACCAAACACTTCTATCTGTTTCTATCACAGAAAAATACCACAACCATGTAAAATTTTTTGTCAGTCATCATCAATTCATTCAAGGTCCAAAGCAATGAAGTGATCATAACAGACAGAGTTCACTGCATTATTAACGAAGTGCTCGAGTGAGCAGTGATGCACAGCTTTGGGAATAAATGCTTGAACTTAAAAGATGAGGAATGAGAAAGAAAGGCAAAAGCCTCTTGATGCAAAGAATAAACCAAAGGATGAAAATAATCCTAGAAAGGAGGAAGGAACACAGGAGAAAAATTAGTTCCTTTTACACAGCTGGTAACTAACCTTTTCCATATTCTTATTACTTCCTTTTCCCTGCTTCACAGATCTAGGTAGTATGCAGCAGGTAGAATCATCTTTTTAAAAAATGCAGTGGAAGTTATGTTTTTCCACAAAATAAAGTCACAGCATTTCAGAATTGGAAAGTACCTTCCTGATCACCTAGTCTAAGCCCCTCAGTCCTTTTGTACCAGAGGAATTGAAGTGTCAGAGAACTGAAGTGATCTGCCCACAGGTCAAAGAGCTAATTTTTGGCAAGAAATGGAACAGAACCTCCTACTATATCTTTTTGGTTATAGCGATGGGTAAAGGAGAAAAGGAATTAAAAGCAGAAAAATATATACCTTGATATTAATATTCAATTTCTTCCTTTTTAAAATGTACCAAATTATATTTAGCATTTATTTTTATTAAAAGACCTTGGTCAAATCATTTCACTTCTCTGGGTCTCAGTTTCCTCATCTGTAAAATGAAGCAACTGGACTAATTCTGTAGCTAAATCATATAGGCAAATCAATGTTCTTCTCTTTCCAATCTACCAAATGGGGTCAACAGTATGTTAGAGGCAGAATTCAAACTCAGGTCTCTCTTGTCTTTTTTCTACTACTATACCTGTCTACCTCCCACCTATTTGCAATATTCTGAGTAATAACTCATCATTTTTTTAAAAATGCCATTGAATTTTTGAGCTGAAAGGGAACTTTGAGCCCAATTAGTACAAACACATTATCAAACAAATGAAAAAACTGAGGCCTAGAAAAGGGAAATGAGTTGCAAGGTTACCAAGGGAGCCCACTGCAGCAATATCCACCTTTACCAAGAATCTACTACATGTCCATTCCACCAGAAGAAACAAGTCTAAAGGGCTAATGTCCTGAGTAATAATTTGTACCTTAAAAATCTGTACCAAACATTCAGCAAGTAATCAGATTACCTTCTTTAATTTCACATTTAAATTTTACCTTGCTAAAAAGACCCTGTACTCAAGGATAGAGACAGAATCTTAAGCCTCACAGCCTCTCCACAGTATCTGGAATTACTTTTAATCTATAGCAAATGTTAAATATTTAGTCATATAATTTTCCACCACTCCCTTAAAACATTGGTGCTTCATAAAATTCTTAGTATGCCATGGTTTCTTTTATTTCTCCTTTGTCACATTTTTTTACCAGCTAGGTAAAAGATGCAGGTAAATGGAGGTAACAAGGATAATACACATTTCCAAATAAATCACACATGCCATAAAAAACCTCAACTGCAGAGTACAAATGAAATCTGCAAAAATCCTGCACCACTTTTGGAATAATATCTATATTTACATAGTGACTGAGGCCTTACAAAGGATTTGATCCATTAAGATTCTGTGATGTAGATTTTGTTTTTTCCACTTTACAAATTAGGAAATTTAGGTTCAGAGGAACTAAAGGACTTGCCTGTGGTAACACAGCTGACCAGTGTCATAGCAGAGATTAAAACCAAGATCTCCAAGTCCAGGATTCACTACAAAAGATGTTCTACTCCTGGTAAAACAGGCTCATCAGCTTTATTATTTTTTAACACACATTGATGCATACAGTAGAATCATAGATTGTAGGAACTGGAAGGGACACAGGAGGTCATAGTGCCTTAAAGTTTACCAAATGCTTTCCTCACAACAGCCCTGCAAGTCAAGAAATCCAAATATTCTCATTTTACAATGGGGAGATGGGGATTGAGAAAACTTAAGAGACTTGCCAAGTACCAATAGTTCATAATCACACTGTTAAGTTCAAGATCCAAATCTTCCAATTCTGGGTCCAAAGCTCTCAGTACTAGACCACTTATGTAAAGGATGGAATTAAATCTGTACGCATATCTATGTCTGGAGGTCATGGAGACAACCAGTTAGATGTGCAGAAGTGAGAATAGCCAGGGAGGAAAATGATAGAAAAAAGCAACACTATGGATTGGAAAATTTCAGATTTATCACATTAAGTTTAAAACTTTGTTTACAAGACAAATACACAACGGAACCTCTATCAATTTAGGTGCACATAAGATGTTTTTGCCCACAGTTCCAAGCAGGGCTTCCCATTTAAAGCCTGGGAATGCTTTGTCTGTTCAACCGGTTTAAGAAAAATAGAAATTAACTTAAAAGGTGAATTCCTGACAGTTGCCATTTTTTTAAAAAGTTGTGAAGTTTAATCACTGTGTGCTTTTACGTACTAGTGCAAAACTAATATTTACAAGACTAAACTGTCATCAGGGTTCTCCAGTACATTGCCGTGACTAGAAACATAAATTTGATTTGGTTAGCATGTTTTTATAAAATCCTGAGCTATCCAATTACATTTGAAGTGACTGTAGTTGAGAAAAATATTTGCCAAGCACACACAAGACTCAAGATAGAATTTGGGCTCTACAACAACATAACTGTAGTCCAAAAATTTTTGTTAAAATTAATAATTATTAAATCCAGGTAGGAACCTCAGTAAAACCTTTCTCCCAAGGTGGCCCAATGCCTCGGGAAATGAGAACAAAGGTGTATAATTACATCTTAAATGCAAATGTTTTGAAATGGAATAAAGACTAAAGAATCTGCACAACACTAACACACTGAAATTCCCTACAAGGAAGGCTGAGAAACAGAGATCCAAAATTTAGAGGCCAGGTTTCCCAGGGCTTTCTGTGGCTTTCGTTAAGGTACTAGGGCTCATCTCATTCTATCAGGCAAGGGGCTCCGAACTGGTGGACCGTACATAGATTTCTGGGGGTCCGTGCATGTGGATGTGAAAAAATAACGTTTATTTTCACTACCCTTCGATTTTCTTTATGCTCGTACGTATTTTATTTTATGTATTTATTTAAAACGCTATGCAGAAAATGGCCCAGGCAGGCCTTAAACAAGGTTCAGAGCTGCGGCAGTGAAGGAGGCTTCCTCCGACTTCCAGCCTCAAAGAAGAACTACCCCACGCCCCGAGACCCACCCGGCCCGGGGGACGCTCGCCGCGAGGGAGGCACCCGCATTTTCTGGGTCATTCAGAACTCGGATCACCAGCTTTTTCTAAGCCTCAGGCAGCTTCCTCTCCAACCAAGGCGAGGCGAGTGCAGAGCTGGGGCACACCCCGCAGCTTCTTCCCAAAACCGGCCCCGAGCTCCGCGTGCCGGGAACCCGGGACGCCCCCTCCCCCCCGCAAGGCCCGGGCCCGAGGGGGCAGGGTGGGCGGCAGCGCGGGCCCGCCGCGCGCACACTTACCCTCCGCCACTGCGCAGCTCGAGGCCCCGCTGGGCAGGGGAGGGGGGAAGCGGAGGCGAGGAGAGCGGAGCGGAGCCTCGGCCTGAGCCCTGCCGTCCCGCCCACCCGTCGCGCTGCCCCAGACCCCGGGCGACAGCTCGGCTTACGTCTCCCCGCCGCACCGAACCACAGCACAAGCCGCCGCCCCGCGCACTCTAACCCTTTTTTTCCTCTCTTTCTCTCCCCGTTTCGCGCCCTATTCGTCTCGCGCCCCGCCGCGCTCGGGAGCGAGCAAACGAACGAGCACGCCCGCGCTCATCCACCCTGTTTCTCCTCCCCTCCCCCCGGCTGTAACTCCCCCAAATTGCAAGCTCACGCGGCAGGGGCACCCCTCCCCCCACGCCCTGTTCTTTTGCCACCCCCGCGCGCGAGCTAGCAAGCGAGAGATTCTTTAGATCTCGCGAGATGCCGGCCCGTCAGGGCTAGTGTGTGAGAGCGAGAGAGGGAGGAGGGCGCTCGAGGCGACAGCACTGCAGACGCCATTATCCTCTGTGTTTCTCTACGGCATCGACCTCTATCGTCTGGCGTTTCTCTTGCTCTTAAACCTACAGGTAATGGGAGTTACTGAGGCCTCTGCATTGTGGGTTCGGGTAGGGCACTGATGCCTCTGAAGCGCTTCGGCAGCCTTTCTAGCCGGGTATTTTTAGGGCTGGAGAGGCCTCTCTGCCCAAAGGGAGGCGCCGGCGGAAGGCGGGGCTGCCGCCTCCTCCTGCGTTGGGATTGACGGCGCCTTGGGCCAATCACGTCGCCCTCGCGCCACCGCTGAAGGCTGAGTAGCCAATGAGGGATGGCGGTGGAGGGAAGGGCGGTAGAAGAAGGGAGAGCGCAGGCAGTGGGGGAGGGGAGTGAGGGGCCTGCGCTCGCTCTCTGTTTAGCTCGGACCGACTGGGGCAGCGGAGGCGTAGAAGAGAAGGCGGCCTCGTGCGGTAAGGACCTGGGCTGGGGAAAGCGTCGCGAGGGGGCTAGAACCCGGGTTGGAGACCATTTCTCCCTGTTTCTTGCAAAGGTTTCCTTCAGGGTGTCTCCGCATGCCCGGGGGTTGGCAAACCTCTTTGGGGAGAATGTTGCCTTGTGTCCCCCTCCCCCCACCTCCGCCATTTCCCTGATCTCGTTTTCATAGGATCCTAATACTCTAATTTTTTTTCCCCGGGAACCCCGAAACGATAAGATGAAGCCCTCCACTGTTGTTGGGGCCTTGTCGGCGAGGGTTATAGGAGGGTGGCGAAGAGGGGGCGGGATCTTGCGAGGGTTGGAAGGAGACCCAGAATCCTTGGTATCTTGGCGAGATTAGCGCCTTTGTGTGGGTCCTTACCGCGTTTTTGCTTCACCGGAGCTGGCGGTACGGGGGGGGGGTGCGTAAGATTATAATGACTGTTACATGGTGGCTCCGCTGCTTTGTCTCTCCCGCTGTGGCGGGAGGGGGGGTATCGGGGGGGGAGGGGAGGGCGGGGGATGAAGTCCTCCTGACCGCGTGGTGGGGGGAGGGGCCTCCGCCTAGTAGCACGTAGGCGCCATTACAGGGGCCGCCATTTCCCGTCGGATTCTGGTGAGGAAAGAGGCGCTGCGTTTCTGCTACGTCCTTTCGCCTTTTTTTCAGTTATCGATTCTTGGGTATTGGCGCCACCGTTGTACCGGTCGGCTTTCGGAGAAGAACAAAAATCTTTGATAGGGGACTGGCGAACCACTTTAGCCAAAATTTCGAGGTTAGCTCGGCAAAGTGAAGGCAAAGAGAAAGGCCTTAGGATGGCCAGCCGCCGCTTTACATACGTGTGTGAACCTCGCCAAATGAGATTTTACCACTCAATCTTAGGCCTGTTTCTTAGATGCAGGGAAGGGAGGGAACGTTTTGTGGACAAAATTGCTACAAGAAAATGAGTTATTAATGTTGGTGGATTTTTAACCCTATCCTATACAAGACCAATGAGCCACCAGTCGGCTCAACTGGCCACGTGTCGGCCTTTCTGCCAGTCAGAATTAGAGGGCGTCTCCTGCTGTGTCTTTCTGTGGTCTCTCTTTTGTAGGGATTAGACTGCCAGAAAATTTCGATCTAAACCGCGGCACAAGATGCTGTTAAAAAAGCTTCTCCCATGGAATTAAAGTTTAAATGCTTTCGTTAATATTAGGTTATGGTTAGATTATATGGGGCATTTGTAGCCCAAAGGAAACCAGCCAGGGTGCCCAAGATGAATTCTTTGCCATTATGTTATTTTGGATCATTATGCCTGATTTAAGTTGTTAGTGTTTAAAAGGAAAAAAAGACAACATTCTTTGCCTTGTTTCTGCTTTGTCTTAGTGATGATGCTACTGTGGGGGGAGGGAGATCGAGAGTGACAATAATACAATAGAAACACGTTTTCTTAGTAGATCTTGCACCAGGCTAGCATATCCACCAGAAATTTGACCTGGTGTGCCTTTTGAGAAAATTGGAATCAAGATTTTAAGTACTAGTATTCTAATTCTTGCTTTAAAATTCTTCCTTAATGTTTTACGTTCTCAAATTTTTTTGTATGATTAAGAAAGAGGGTGTAGTATTAAAAACAGTTTCAAAAGTACTAGGGTTTGCTTTATCAAGACATTTTATTGGAAGCAAAAGCAGGTCCTTTACATTATAAAGTAACCAAGATGAAAGAATTGGCATCAATGTTCCGCACTGTATGTAGCATACCCAAAAGATTCTTGTAGAAATAGCTAATTGTAACTTAGAATTTTTAAATTTTGTATCTGTATCAAGAAAAGTGATCTGAAATACCATGCCTATTTAACATTAGAAAGAAAGTTATTTTCCTTAAAGAGGAATGTCTCATCAGTGTATTTAGATGATGGAATAAAATTGAAATATCCATCCATTTAGAATTAACATGGTTTTTTAAGAATGTGTTTAGGGTCCTAGCTGTGCCCTGGGCATAAAAAATAAAAATTATAGGAATAGGAAGGTTGAGGTTCAATTTAAATTTGACGTCAGAATTAGTATTCAGTAATAGAAAAATCAAAACTGATTTATGTTGGTTTTTATAGGCTACTGCAGCACTAGGGTGTCAGTTGTTGATCCCGCCCAGAACAGTTCTGCCCTGCAAGGATATATAATACTGGTACGTTCTAGAAGCAGAGTCATTTCTTCACTTGTTCAGTTTAGCCAGATAGACACGGCTTACTTTCCAATGAACCAGATGTACTAGCTTGTTTACTCTTTGACAGATTGTCTACCCATTTAATCTGAGAAAATGGAGACTGAGCAGCCAGAAGAAACCTTCCCCAATACTGAAACCAATGGTGAATTTGGTGAGTGAATTTTGATACTTGTTTCCCAGTTACATGAGTAGTACAAATATGATGTGGATTTTTAAATGGAAGTGGCAACATGTTAAGCATTATAGAAACTTTAATATGATTTTTATTCTATATTCATTAAATATCCAGTGTCATTATTGGAAGCACTTAGCCATGTCCATGTTACTTACGGTTAAATTTAGTGCTTCTTTTGGTCCCTTTTTAAAGATCTAGTTCAGGATATTTTGTCACTGTGCATATTGTGCCTGATACTGGGGTGGGGGTGGAGGGTGGAACATTTGATCTAAACCGGGCTTGGAAAAGAATGTAACAGTATTTGTAGACTTTTGGTGACACTTAGCAGCAAATATTTCATCCAAATAGGAGTTACCTTCTATGTTTTAGAAACTTCAGTTCCAAGATTATTCTAACTTGTAAAATTGTCTGTAATTCTCCAAATGAAGCAGAGTTTGGGAAAGGATGATGATGTTAATTAGAGTTTTTTCATTCAAAATACCTAATTTTTAGGTAAGCGCCCTGCTGAAGATATGGAGGAGGAGCAGGCCTTTAAAAGATCTAGAAACACTGACGAGATGGTTGAACTGCGCATTTTGCTTCAAAGCAAGGTATGGTTTAATTAAAAATTGGCTGATATAATGATCAACACAGATGTCAAAAATGGGGCATCTTAAATTTTTATTTAGCTGTATTTCATGAAAGTAATTTTTTTTCCACTTACCTAATGAAGATAAGAGGTTGGGTTCAGAGGTAATAAGAATTTTTTGTTTTGTTTTTGGCAGTTACAAGTTTTGAGTGTTTCCCTGTTGGGGGGGGAATAGCAGGAGCAGAAATTGCCATCTTAAATTTTTTATAGCTATATACAGGTATCAATTATTGAGATTATTCTCAAAGTTATGTTGACATCTTTAAAACATGATGATTTTCTGCATTTATTGGGAAAGGGGTGTCATTTTAAAAGTAAGCATAAATTATGAGACTTGAAAAAATTGGCTTTTGTGTATGCTTTTATTTCTACAGCGTGCTTGGATAAGTGATTTTGAGGCCAGTGAAAATTTCGTCAACTTAATTTTTTTAATGGATCTTAAAGAACTTAGATTTGAGTGTTCTTGAACTGCAAATCTACATTAATATCTTCTGATTTGTTTGTTTTTATAGAATGCTGGAGCAGTGATTGGGAAAGGAGGCAAAAATATTAAAGCACTTCGTACAGACGTAAGTATTCAAGTCTTCAAACTACTATTCGGTCAGCTTCTGTTTACGTGTTGCTAGAAAATTTAAAATTTCAATCAGACTTCATATAATAGTCTAGGTACAAGCCATTTGTAATGATTTTTTTATATAAAAGACTTCGAGTTTTGCCATTCCTGTTACAATTAAAACCCAGATTGAGTCATGTGGGAAGAGGTTTGTATTAAACCTCTTCGATTTCTAACAGGATTCCACTAAATTATACACTTCAAGCAAGATAACATCTTAATTAGAAATATTGACAAAGCTTAAAAACCCCTTAATTGCACCATTTCCCATATGTGTGAATCAATTACAGTATTACTGAAAACCATTGCAGGTGGCTGATTTAACCCAGTGATTTTTTTTTTAATTCTTTTGATAAAACTGTCCATCTGTTCTTTAACAGCTTGCACATGAAGCACAAAAACATTAATGTTAAGGCGATTGCATGATTTAAATATTGGGTATAGGTTAGCGTAGGAACTTTATTCTATAATTGGGAAGCAATTTGTCAATGCCTGTGACTTGCGTGTTCAAATTTTATAGTGGGTTGACTCTTGTGATTAGACACATTTGATATGGCATCTCCCAGAAGTGTGTATTTATAGGACTTGACTACACCAAAGCGCCTAAATTATTTCTCATAGGCTACGCCCTTATATTTAACATCTTGCTAAAATTAAAGCAATTATGACTTTGTGTTGAACACTTATCTGACAGTATTTCGTTTCTCTTTCGGTCGCAGATCTTTGTATGTTCCTCTTGATTACTGTAAACTGAACTTGAAAAATTGTTTTGA